ACATAGAAGAGCCACCTCCACGGGACAAGACGCAGCAGTTCATCTGCATCTTAAGTACAAAGGTCACTCTTTCGAGGATGCAAACGTTCACATTTTGGACAGAGAGTACAGATGGTCTGAAAGAGGAGTGAAAGAAGCCATTTACGTCCACTGTGAGCGACCATCTTTGAACAGAGGCGGTGGTTTACGACACTAACTCTCTGCCATCTATAATCCAGTTTTGAGATCCCTTCCCAGAGGCCTTAACGCCCACTCACATCCTGGGCCATCTGACCTCAGGAAATCACATGATAAGGTGGGGCCAGGTTTCACAATGAGCTCACCCGAAACCCTGGCTGATTGTGACCAACACCTGCTTTCACACCTTGGCTCATGTGATTAGGTAGAGGATCATCAGGGGGTCCTTTGTCCCTCTTTGGGGGGAAACTCCCACTGGGTTTAAATCTGGGACTCTCCACCATTTGACCCTTAGAACTGAAGAAGCTTCTCGGATGAGAGGTGAAACGTCTTCAAGCAACTCAAAGAAGTCCAGACGCTTTTCTTTCCAAGCTCCTTAAACTTCTAAAGATGACAAAAATTAAGGACTCAGTTGAATAGAAAATACAAAATAGGTGAAGTTCTTAATAAGACCAAATCTTGATCTGTCATTGAGTCAGAAAAGCTGAAACAAATGTGAGAAAAAGTGCTCAGCTGCATGTGGTTTAAATTGTGGTGAGGATCCATTAATTATCCATTGCCTTTCACTAGAGTAATCAATCATCTCAATCGCCTGTGTCAGCTGATGAAAGAATCCAATCAGTGCATTGAAATTGGATTCAAATAGCAACAAGGAATCACTTGCACTGATAAACATGGCTATCAATAAGCTTTAAAATTAGGTAAATACAACCTCAAATAAAAATATGTGAAGTAAAAGGCTAGGTCCCAACCTCAACCGAACTTAGATGCTTGGCTGGGTCCTTCAGAGAGCTTTGCAACATTGCAAAGAAGAAGTCGACAAGATGAAAGAAACACATAATGTCATACAGAAAATCATTAATTCAAGTTATTTGTTCAAAAGGTAGTTACACAAGCTATCATGAATTGAACCGAATTCATTTAATAAATAATATAATAATAACAATTATTACTTTAAAGTAGTTGCAGTAAAAGAAAGTTCAATCGTTATATGATGAATAAACCCCAGCATGCATTGATAAAAGAATTTCTAGTTTGCCATACAAATAAATTTAAAAGGCCTGTTATAATATGCATTTCCTCCATAAAAGTAGCCTCACGGAGAACAGCTAATACACACTATACATTTCCCCTCAGGTACCTGTGCACGCAGCCGGCTTGTTAATGTTACTGAGCCAAAGGTCTACACAAAAGGAGAATATCCTGGCTCGTATGCTTACGGAGCCTGGGGTCGTGATCCCAGACCAGAGAAAGGCAAAGAGAGCTGGTATTGGCTGGTGATGTTGACATTGAGTAACGTACATGCCAACTATGTTCGTCTTTACAGCAGTCTAAGTTCTCTCATCATTGGAGTGAGCGTCCCAGGTAAGGAACTGCTCGCTTCTCTTTGTTTATTCCCCTACGAAATGTAAAAAACCCTTACTGTTTATACTGGGATCACACTGAAGTTGGTAAATTAGTAGTTTATTGAATCATTTGAATTTCCAAGAAAGAAAGACATTAACCTGGAGGTTTGTTGTACGTTGGGTTACTGAATGTGTATGGAAAGGACCGTTTAAAGTTTGCTAGGTAACTACAATACCTAACTGTACCTAAAATTGAATTATGCAGACCACAATAAAAGTGACTTTACTCTTTAATATTATAAGAGAACACTGACATTTTCCTTACTTAAAGTGGAATAAAGTAAAGTGCACGATTGTTTTAATTACTGGCACATTTCTGTGAAGCAAATTATAGTTTTAAACTATTAACATACGTTTATTCCTCCTTTTTCTTCTTCAGGTAACGTCCAGATCCACTCCTCAAACCCAACTACCAACACCATCCAGGGTCCAAATAATGTTCTGTATGGAGGGGCTTTGTACTACAACTGTTACAACCAAGATTATGTTTGTCGATTCAATCTCACCACTAAAAGTGTCACAACCTTACAACTACCAAAAGGCACCAGGTTTGTCACGCAACTCAGAAAAGGATAAAATAAAGAATAACTATGACAGAAACTTTCACTGCTATCCTCTGTTAACCAGGTACAACTCAAAAGGTAACTTCTGCCATCTTGAGGAATGCTACCCATACACTGACCTGGACCTGGCAACAGATGAGTCTGGTGTCTGGGTGGTCTACACCACCACTCAGGACTTTGGCAACTTGGTTCTCTCTAAGCTAGAGGAGGGTGAAACACCAACACTTAGGCGTACCTGGCGCACTTCAGTCTACAAGCGGGCAGTGACCAACACCTTCATGGCGTGTGGCGTTCTCTATGCGACACGTTACATTAACAGGGAGGTCGAGGAGATCTTTTACTCATTCAACACCGTGACGGGACAGGAGAAGTTCAACATTGGCATCTTCATGAACAAAATGTCTCCCAACATTCAAAGCCTAAACTACAGCCCTGTGGACCAGATGCTGCATGCTTACTGTGACTCCAACATGGTTTCCTACAAGGTGTTGTTTGGGTAAATTGATGTTGTTTCATTTCTGCAAAATTGATTGATCTCTATAAAAGTCTGAATTCAAAACAGTTTTTTCTCAAGATGTTTCGTGTTTAATGCATCACATTTCATAAACAATGTATTTCTCCATTAATCTAATTCTACCAGTGTAAATAAATAGTTCATTGTTACCTTGTACTCTCTTTATTCAATAAAATCAATATTTCCAGTGTAGTGGTTTTAATGTTCAGAGTCAGTCTAACTATGTTATTATATATTTTTTTTATGTAAACATACAAATGTCATATTCTCATAAAAGTTACACGATTGTTGTTCTGACATTTGTGGAGAAATCCTTGCAGTGACATTAGCGTAGCAGTTATCTAAATAAGTAAATTAAATTCAAACTGATTATCAACTCGTTAGTTGTTGTACCAGTGTATTACTCTAAGTACTGGCTCTTTCCATGCGTGACATAAAAATCCTCTTTTTTTTGAATGCAGAAAACTAATCTATGATTAATTTTACAGACAATTTTTTTTGAAATGGCCACATGAATAAAAACATTCCTACTTTCTAATAGTATCTACCATTTACATTGTTTATGGAGATATTTGTGAAATATTCTCCAGCATTTACACTGACTAACCTTAACATTGTGTAACATTTAAAAATTATCCTTCAAGTATCTGATATTACACATTTTATAGTTCATAATTCAAGCGCAGACCACCAAGGTGCAATGGCCTACACTCAACTGATATGCTGTTGTGTTTATATTGTAAAGTAAAAACCCTATAATAATATAAAAAAACCCCAGAGAAACCCCAACAATCATATCGCTCCCATGAGCAGGTGATTTGGCGACAGTGGAAAGGAAAAACTCCTTTTTAACAGGAAGGAACTTCCAGCTGAACCAGGACAGGAGAAGGATGTCCATGTGCAGCAATGGAAGCAGATATGGAAGGTAAAATCCAAAGTGGTCCCAATGGTATAGGGCAATGTATTTTGATTTCCACCAGTGATTCGATTCAATTTTGACACAATCCCCTACTGGGGAGACTCAGGTCTTTTGGAGTGGAGGGCCCACTCCTGAAGACCTATGACTCTGTGGTGGCCTCAGCCATCTTTTACTGTGAGGTCTGCTGAGGCGGCAGCATCTCTGCTGGGGACAGGAAGAGACTGAACAGGCTGATCCGGAGAGCCAGCTCTGTTCTAGGATGTCCTCTGGACCCAGTGGCGGTGGTGAGTGACAGGAGAATGGTGGCTCAGCTGTCGTCCCTGTCGGACAACATTTCCCACCCCATTCAAGAGACTCTGACAGCATTGAGCAGCTCCTTCAGTGGCAGGCTGCGGCACCCAGGCTGGGATGGAGAGATTTCGCAGGACTTTCCTCCCAACTTAATGTCAGACTCTACAACATGGTCTCTGAAGATGGCCACACACGTGCAGACAGACACACACACATCCCATACACAACTGTAACTGTCTCCCTGATGTGCAGTATTACCAAGTGCAATTCTTTCCTACCATAACAGAGCATTTTATTCTATTTTGTACAGTATTTTATTCTAATTCATCTTATCATATTCCATTGTGTTTATCTTAATTTTTACTGCTCTTAAATTTGTACTTTCTGCCGTGACCCAAATATTTCCCATTTGTGGGACTAATAAAGGTTTATCTTATCTAATCTTATCAGTACAAATCCGTTATTTTATATCTATGTATATCCATCCATCCATTCGCTTCCGCTTATCCTTTCCAGGGTCGCGGGGGGCGCTGGAGCCAATCCCAGCTGTCATAGGGCGAGAGGCGGGGTACACCCTGGACAGGTCGCCAGTCTGTCGCAGGGCCAACACACAGGGACAGACAACCATTCACACGCACATTCACACCTAGTGACAATTTGGATTAATCAATTAACCTATCCCCACAAGCTGCATGTCTTTGGATGGTGGGAGGAAGCCGGAGTACCCGGAGGGAACCCACGCAAACACGGGGAGAACATGCAAACTCCACACAGAAAGACCCCGGCCTGATGGTGGAATTGAACTCAGGACCTTCTTGCTGTGCGGCAACAGTGCTAACCACCGTGCCACCGTGCTGCATGTATATCTATGTATATCTATATATAAAATAAATCTAACACTTGTGAGACCTTAGAGGTCACATCTTGTAACTGGAAGGTTGCCGGTTCGATCCCCAGCTCTATCTGTCCTGGTCGTTGTGTCCTTGGGCAAGACGCTTCACCTACCGCCTACTGGTGTTGGCCAGAGGGGCCTGAGTGTCTAGAAAAGTGCTATATAAATGCAATCCATTATTGTACCTAAGAATAAAACACAAACAAATATGAAGGAGATTTTTCAGGCTGGCTTTTTATAGCAGATAAACACCTTAAAAATATTTTGCAGTACATCAAAAACTGAAGAAAACCATGAATCAGCATATAAACATTACCTAATGCTGAAGTGAAGCAGAGCAAAGTTAAGGAGGTTTTATTAGCGACTACAGCTAAGCGTTTTATAATTTGGCATAATTATTAAAGTAAAAATTTTTTTGGTATTGAACAGCAGAAATTGGCCCTTCTTTTCGGAAGTCTGTTTTGGAGAAAAAAGTAGCGGGCAGCAGCACTTTACACAACGGTAGACTGGTGCGTAATAAGCAAGTGAATAATGCAAAAAACAGAAATTTTAGTACATTCAGAAAGAGAAAGCTGTGCATGAAGTGTGATTTTCTCATGGTGGAAGCAAAACAGCAAAAGGAAGATGGAATTCATGACAATCTTTTTCAAATGTGAAGCGTAGTCTTGATCTTCTTTTGCTGTTGGTTCAGTGAATTTTGGTCGGAGAGTGATGAAACCTGCAGCTTCAGAATCTGTGAGATGTTGCCTTTCAGCACCCAGTGGCATGTCCGCGTTGGGTGAATGGGGGGGGATGCATGCTTTGTGTTTACATCTTTTTGCAAAATCCGTTTACATCATTAGCTGTTTGATGATTGAAACAGTTTTGTGAACTTTAACCTCAGACTCTGCCGTTTCTAGCAAAATACATTTACATTTAAAAATCGATTTGGGGTATCAATATCACATTATTCAAACTAAAATCAATTTCTATGAGAAAATCTATTTTTTAAACCTACCCCTACAGTGTTAGTAGTAATGTTAGAAGCTGTAAACCCAAAATAGTTAAAATCTTGATGTTTTTGTTACTGAAGACTTTATTATGGTTCTAACCGATGTTTGCATTCAGTTTTACCAAATGACATTATTAGTATATGAACAGTTTTTACAGCATACATGACATATCTGTGGTATTTGTAGCTAACATCACTGTTGCATAAAATAGTCCTTAAACTGCACTTTTTAAATCATTGCTTTTTTTTCTTGCAACATAAATGCAGCATACATGATATATCTTGAGCATTTGCAACATCTGCTAAGATTGCTGTTGCACAGAAAAAGCCATTGCCTTTTTTGGGGGGGCTTGGTCATGTGACAATAACTAGCTACAAAGCTTCAGATCTGAAGTAGGCCTGGTAGGCCAGCAAGTATCCATCGTTGTACATGTAGATCTGCTTGTTGGTGGGATTGTAGCTCAGACTAGCCACTGCTTTAGCTACCTTCTCCAGTGGTATTGCTAGTGAGTTGTCTTCTTTGCCTGTGGCTGTGTCGAAGGCGTAGAACACCTCCTCCCGGTACTCATTAACGTAACGAGTTGCGTACATCACACCGCACACCATGAAGGCGTTACTTACTGCCTTCTTGAACAGCCTCGTTTCCCACGTCTGTGTCACGTTGAGACTCTTCACCTCGCTGTCCCAAACTAACCGGCTGATCACAAGGTTACCATGGTTACCTATAGTGGCATAGAGAGCCCACAGTCCTGTTTCATCTGCCTCTACATCAATATCACTATTGAGCCGGCAATCGTAGTAACAATAAGGGAACTTGTTGTTGAAACCCACACCAGTGCCTGGAAGAGTCACCCGTTTGACCTCGTTGGTCTCCAGGTCGTACCGGCAAACGTCTGCAGAGCGGTAGCAGTGATAATACAGAGCCTCGCCATACAGGACAGCGTTCGGACCTTCATTTGTGCTGGGATGACTGTAAGATGAAGCAAAGGTAAATTCTCTGTGGTTTGTTGAGGCCATGAAGTCTTCATAGGTTTGGTAAAGGCGCACAGTGTTGCCCCAGATGTGGCTGCTGAGCAGAGGTTGAACCCAGTAACTGTTCTTCTGCCCCTCGCTCTCGTTCTGGGCTTGTTTTCCCCACGAACCAGAGATGTAGCTCTTACCATGAGGACTGACTTTAGTCGTGATAGGGTCACTGATGTTGGTGATCAGACCTCTGACGCAGTGCTTGTCCTGAACTGGAAAGATAGAAAGATCAGAAGGTTTTTGAAGCAGATGATGATATAGATACAGTCAATCGTTGTCATTTATCATCATTACTTATCATACCCTTAAGGTGTATCCTTGCTTTGAAAAGGGGAAGCTTTTTATTTCTAGACTGGGATGGCTCTGTACTGGGTCTGACAGAGGGCTGGGTCGGTGACCCAGCATTTTGAGTTATTTTGTATTTTTGCTTATTTATGAAATAATATAAAGTTCTCGGGTTATTATTAGTTGGTATTAGTTGAAGTTGAGTCTAGTTTATTAGACTCGTTATCCATGTTCATGTCCCCTTGCTTATGAGCCTTTTTCTGTTTAAAATGTGCAATCTCCTTGTCTGTGTAGGTTCCCCTTGTGTCTTTGTGCTCTG